CATCGATTCGAGCGGCTTGGGGAGCTCCATGACATCAACAAGTCGGTTTCGGTGCTTCGGGATGCTCTTGATTTCACTCCAGAGAGCCATCCACATAGAGCCTCCAGACTTGGGGATCTCGGCAACTCGCTCCTCCGTAAATTCGAGCGGCTTGGTGATTTGCAGGACATCAACCAGTCAGTATCTGTGTTGCAGGATGCTGTCCAACTCACTCCAAATGATGACCCTCAAAAGTCTTCAGTGTTAGGAAATTGGGGCAATTCCCTTCTCTGTCGATTCGAGCAGTTAGGTGATCCATGGGACGTCGACATGGCTGTGTCGGTGTTCCGAGAGGCAATTTCCCTCACCCCACCAGGGAACCAAAAAATGCCCTTGAGGCTGGGCAATCTTGCCAATTCCTTGCTCTGTCGCTTTGAGGAGAGGGATGATCTTGAAGACATTGATCAGGCTCTGGTCATGTTTGAGCAGGTTCTCGAACTCACCCCAAACTCTGATTCTCAACGCCAATCGAGGTTAAGTAGCCTTGGCCAGTCTTATCTCTCTCGCTTTGAGAGACTTGGTGAGATCCAGGACATAGAGAAGGCTGTGTTGATACTGGAAGACTCTGTCGAAGGAACTCCCGAGGGCCATCCAGAAAAGTGCCTGAGGTTGAGTAATCTTGGAAAGTCCTACCTCTGTCGGTTCGAGCGGTTTGGGGACCTCGGCGACATCAACAAATCTGTGTCCATTCTAGGTCACTCAGTTCGATTGACTCCAGATAATCATCCTGATAAGCCCTTGAGGCTGAGTTATCTGGGCAATTCCATGCTGTGTCGGTTTGAGCAGCTTGGTGACCTTGAAGACATCAACAAGGCAATCATAACCTTGGAACACTCTGTCAAATTTACTCCAGATGGCCATCCTCACAAACCCTCAATATTAAACAACCTCAGTCATTCACTTTTCCGTCGCTTCCAGCGCTCAGAGGACAAAGCAGCTGTCAAAAGATGCGTGTTAATATTTGAAGATGCTCTCGCCCTCACCCCAGATGGCCATCCCGGCAAACCTCTGATACTGAGCAATCTTGGCAATTCCTTGCGCTATCAGTTTGAGGAGTTTGGGGATCTTGGAGACCTTAACAAATCGGTATCAATGCTTGAGGACTCTGTCAACCTAACTCCTCAGTACCACCCTAGCAAGCCTTCGCGTCTGTGCAACCTCGGGAACTCGCTTCTCTGTCTTTTGAGCGTCTTGGCGACATCCATGACATTGACCGTTCGGTTAAGGTGCTCCAGGAGTCTGCCGATATCACTCCAAATGGTCACCCTGACAGACCTTCCAGATTGAACAGTCTTTGTGGCTCTCTTTTGTGCCGATTTGAGCTGCTGAGAGACCCTCATGACTTCGAAACGATGATTACTCATTATTCGTCTGCTGCATGCTCACCCGCTGGCCCTGCATTTATACGATTCGAAGCTGCCTCTCTGTGGGCTAAACATGCTCAAGCCACTCAACATCCATCTCTCTTACGTGCTTATAGCGTAGCTGTCAGCCTCATTCCAGAATTGGCCTGGCTTGGGCTGTCCATCCCTGACCGACATCACCACTTGTTGAGAGCGGGAAGGGTAGTCAGAGATGCAGCTGCGGCAGCGATTGCTGCAGTCCAGTACGAACAAGCAGTGGAATGGCTAGAACAAGGGCGTTCAGTGATCTGGAGCCAGTTACTCGACCTTCGTACACCGATTGATGTTCTCAAGGATAGCCATCCTGACTTAGCAGACCGTCTCATCTTCCTCTCTATCCAGTTGGAAGGGGCGGGTGTCCGTGATGGTTACGCAGTGGTTACTGGACCCATTGAGTCCCCACAGTCCCTTGTGTCGGTCGGAAGCCGGTACCACGAGTATGCACATGAACGGGGTCAACTCCTGGACCAAATCCGAACATTTCCGGGGTTCACTAGCTTTCTATTGCCGATGAAAATCCCTCAACTTTCGCTGGCCGCAAGGGAAGGACCGGTGGTTGCTATTAACATCAGCGAAACTAGATGTGATGCTCTCATCCTTATGCCAGGCCTGGGGACGGACATTATACATATTGCACTGAACTGCACATGTCAGGATCTTCAAGCTACGGCTGAGTCTCTGAGACGCCCTCAGGGCGTCGCTGGGCGCAAGGGAATTCCTGAGCATCACGACAGGTTGTTTGGTACCCAGGAACGAGATGATACAACAAGAGCAGACTTTTTCCCACAGCTTCTCTCCGACCTGTGGTTCCAAGTAGCTAAGCCTATTCTGCAGGCACTCGCCATTCAGGTGAGCATGATAACATAGAGAGTATTCAATCTCCAACTCTTCAGCATAGACACCATCGCAACAAAATTTACAACGTATCTGGTGGTGTCCAACTGGGCCACTCACATTCCTCCCGATCCATGCCGCTGGGCTATACGGGGAGGAGGAGTCATTGGGTTCGAAGTTGTCTGACTTTGTTATTTCCTCATATGCCCCGTCATTAACGGCTCTAATTGAAGGGTTTCGTGTCAACCCCGATTCTCTGAATGGCCCGCGACTTCTTGCTGTTGCTCAACCAGTTGCAGAGGGACAGAGCTATTTACCGGGAACCACACAGGAACTCAATCATATTGAGCACTATGCCAAAGGGAAGATGCGTGTTACTCGATTAGAAGAGGATATTGCAACCATCGACAATGTGGAGAAAGGCATGGCAGAGTCCAGCTGGGTACACTTCGCATGCCATGGGCTCCAAGATTCCCTGAATCCGATAAAAAGTGCACTCTTGCTTGCTGGACAATCACGCTTAACGCTTTCAAGCATTATCAAACTATCACTGCCTCAGGCTGATCTGGCATTTCTCTCCGCATGTGAAACTGCCAAAGGTGCCTATGATCTTCAAGAGGAGTCTGTTCATCTTGCAGCTGGCATGCTATTAGCAGGTTACCGTACGGTCATTGCTACTATGTGGAGCATTGGGGACAACGATGCTGTAGATATTGCTGGGGATGTTTATGAACATCTGTTCAAAAGCTCGCCACCCGACTCGACCCGTGCGGCTGAAGCACTGCACAGGGCAGTTGCCAACCTCCGGGAGTCGAAGGATTTTGCGTATTGGGTGTCATTCATTCATGTGGGAGTTTGAACCCAGTGAACCCAGTGAGACATCGATGAATAATTAGGTCTCCTAAGAATGTGTATGCTCTTTGATTAGTTTAACAAATTGTGCCTGTGCATCGAAGCATTATTCTTGGACGGTTCACGGTGTCTTTCACCATGTAAGTTCTTCGTGGATGGCTGTAAATGGACAATTTTCATTAGATTTTTGAAAAATAGCTTGTGAGCTTGTACAAGGCCAAAAAAGCCCACGAGCCCCACCAAACGGCGCGTAAGCTCACAAGCTGAGTCGACTTTCTCACAAGGTCACTAGTTTGACTCCGGTTAGTGGCGAAAATTCAGCACAAATAGGACCCGCTCACACCGTGTCGTCAAAGGCTGATGTTCATTTTCAACTCCCATGTATAATTTTGGCGCGAATCGGCGGCGCGTTTCAAGTGCACGTGATCGTGTCCTATCTCCACTTGCTCTACTGCCACTGCCAGAGTTGACCGTCTCTCTCCACATCCTTATCGGACCTTTCCTTTGATATAAATTACCTTTATTTCTGGCGAAAGAATTGATGGGCGATTTTTTTGGGTTCCGCGGAGCAGTCGCAGAACCCTTAGATGTATTTAGTGTTTGGGTAGGAGGGGTGCACAGGCAGAACTGCACCCCCCTGCGATATTTGACGGTTTGAACGAGGTTAGACCTTGAACACGGTCCCTCAAAACCTAGATATATTCCACATATGAATAGAGAACAGAGGAGCGGACGTGCACGACGCACCACTGCATCGCGTACCGTGCGTAATAGAACCATTACAGCGGCTGGACGGGGTTCTGCTCCCCGCGTCCGCATGGGTCGCTGGTTGAGAATTTTTTATATCGAAAAAATGAGGACAGTCCCCAGCGCTGGAATAATGGAAGGAGAGAGAGAGGAAGCGGACGTGGTGCACTGTACACCGCTGCGTCAGATACTGCGATGATATATTCATGCAGCTGCTGGGGTCCGACTCCCGGCGCATTGTCCAAAGCCCGTTCTAATTATTTTGACAAGACAAACAGACCAGTGCATTAAAACTAGATATATATAACACCTGAATGGAGCCGGGGAGTGGACGTGGTGCACGGCGCACTCTTGCCATTAATAGAAGACTTGCAGTTATCGAGGAGCTCGGCGGGGTTCGACTCCCCGCGTCCGCATCGTCGATATCTTCGGTAGCTTTTTTTTTTTAAAAAAAAGAAAATAATCAGAACAGTCCCCAAACCCCTGGACATATTCAAAGGCAGAACGAAGAGGGGAGCGGACGTGGTGTACGGTGCATAACTGCTTGAGCTCCATTTGACGTGTATTAGTGCAGCGCAGTTGAACGGGGTTCGACTCCCAGCGTCCGCATAAATGTGTCGAGCCGACCTTTTTTTGTCGGAGGGGAAGCCGGTTTAAAGTGAGGTGAAGTGGAGACAGAGGCCAATATGCTGCGTCGCGCACCGGCTGCGCGGATGGAAGTGATTGCACTTTGAATCCGGTGTCCCCCTGCCACTGGGTTTTCCAAGTCGGAGGTGTTCCTTAAGTCCTGGATATATTCACCTCATGAAGGGAGGAAGAAAGAGGACGTGGTGCACGGCGCACCGCTGCTTCATCTGGTGGTAATGCCGTACCTCAAGCAGCTGCACAGGGGTTCGACTCCCCGCGTCCGCATCATTGTGTTGAGTTGACCATTTTTTGTCGGAGGGGAAGCCAGCTCCAGTTGAACCCAAGTCGAGAGCCAGGCGAGTGTGCAGCGTCGCGCACCGGGTTCACGGATGGAAAGACGTGGTTGCACCTGCAAGCTGTTGGCCTTCGAGTATTTTCGACACAATCGCAGGGTTGTTAGAGCCCTGAATGAGAAGCAGAACGGGACAGAGGAAGGAAGCGGACGTGGTGCATGGTGCACCGCTGCTTCATCTGAACGATCACTCCCAAATCCAGGCAGCTCGACGGGGTTCGACTCCCCGCGTCCGCATGGGGTTCCATCGTCAGTCCTTTTTTTATTTCAATTGAGTTCGAGTTGAAAGGACATAGAAGATCCCTGGTGCAAATAGGGTATTGACGCCCACTGGACACCAGTTTCATGGTGAAAGATGGCTACGCACTGAAGCAGTTGACTGCGTCCACCGGCTTGGGCTTGGCAGGGAGCGAAAAACCTTGAACTGCTGGATGAGCTGAGATGTAGAATGTGATAGAGGTAAGAAGCGGGCGTGGTGCATGGTGCACCGCTGCGATCAATGCATGGGGGATCTGATTTGTAGAGCGGATGCTGCGGTTCGACTCCCCGACGTTACGAATATTTTTGCTGCAGAGAGAATCCGAACAGTCCACCGGAAGCCTTTGAGATATATTCGGCAGAAAATCTCGAGAGGCAGCGCACGCGCATCGCTGTGCGAGATCCAGTGGCTCGCACGGTTGGGCGCACTTTGGCCGGCTCATTTTCACGAACAGAGGTCGTTAAATTTTGGATCTCTTGAAGTGAATAATGGAGGAAGGGAGCGGACGTGGTGCACGGTGCACGGCTGCGTTACATCGACGGGTAGTCCAGCCATCCAAGCAGCTAGACGGGGTTAGAGTCTAGACCCCCCGCGTCCGCGTAATTATGACACTGGGGGCAAAGGCCGGGGCATGTGGACATCACATGCGCAATACGCATGTGACGACACATGTGTTCCTCGTGTGTTCAGCATGCGTTGATCCGGGCCCAAAAAGCCTTTTTTCGGTGCATGCTGAACATATGAGGAACACATGCATCGGCACATGTGTATTGCGCATGTGATGTCCACATGCCCCGGCCTTTGCCCCCAGTGTGATCTCTGCAGACCTTTTTTTGTGTGATTTTTGTTCAGGTTGGATGCTAGCTCAATTCTGAAGGACAGGGAAAGATGTGAGAGGATGTGGCCGTGCGGGGTGGCGCACGAGTTTCGTGGATGGAGAGAAGTGGTTGCCCCTCGCTACCGTTGCCGGGGTTCAATGAAGGAGTCGCTCAAACCACGATGTATTCAGCGCAAATATGCAAAGAGGAAACGGACGTGGTATACTGCGCACCACTGCACTTATTAATGAAGGAGTCTCTAAAACCTTGAAGCAGCTGGACGGGTTCGGCTCTCCGCGTCCGCATGATCTATTCCTTCACTAAGGTTTTTTCACCAGAGAACAGCCCCCAAACACCTGGCTATATCCAAGGGCAATGCGAAGGTAGGGAGCGGAGGTAGTGCACGGCGCACGGATACGATTAATTCAAAGGCGTCTCCGACACAGCTAGAAGGGTTCGACTCCCCGCGTCCGCATGTGCGGTAACCGTATTTCTTTCTTTCCTTTTTTGTTTGCTGCGTCTTATGTCCTTTTGTGAAGAGTAGAATTCCCTGGTGGCATAGGGAGTATATATGAGGTGGAGCACAGTATCCTGGGTGAAAGTTGAATTTTAACTTCATTTTGCCGAATGTGTTTTGATGAGAGTTCCACCACACAAGCTGGCTATATTCACCTCATGAAGAACAAAGCGGACGTGGTGCACGTTGCACTGTTGCGTAATTTGGATGATCACCCCCAAATTCAGGCAGCTCGACGGGGTTCGACTCCCCGCGTCCGCATGCCGCATGCCGCCTCGGCAGCTTTTTTATTATTATTATATTTTGTTTTGCTTTTCACAGAGCAGGCTTACCACCGCGAGATACAGCGAATATGACTCTCCTGGGAACTTGCAGTATCCAGAGGTATTCCTCTCTCCTATGAATGGGTAAGGAGGTCCGCACGTAGTGAGGGAGCACCGTTAAGGTTATTTGTGCCAAAGATCCTCCCTAAGCCCATGTCCAGCATGGGGATTATGAGCGAACGTGGTGCACGGTGCGCGGCTGTTGTACATAAGTATTGGTGCCCGCAGTTACACAAGCAGCTAGACGGGGCTCGACTCCCCGCGTCCGCATAAGCGCTGATTGCCTAGTTTTTGCTTTTCGTCTGGATTTAGCATGACTTAGTTTAACCCGGGAAGTTCGTCGCGTGAAGCGAGTGGCGCGGCGGACGTGGTCCATGATTCAGCACTGCACTGACTGATTAGTTTGAATTTGCTTAGCAGATTCTCAGTGAGCCGGGCTCAGACTAGCGCGTTAAATTCAATAAAACGCCCCCGCAAAAACCCGCATATGGTCAGTATGATCTTGGAGAGAGCAAGCGGACGTGGTGCACGATGCACCACAGCCTTACATAAATGAGAAATGATAGCTCAACCAAGCAGCCCGACGGGGTTCGACTCCCCGCCTCCGCATGCATTTCTTCCAGCCGATTTTTGCTTCCGTCGAGTAGGCTGGAACTCTCGTAGTTCAGTTGCAGTCCGCTCCTGAAACCTAGATACATTCAGCACGGAGTTCTGAATAGTTCCGAGATCTGATGCCGCACTATCCTTACTTTTGACGGACGTGTTTCGACGAGAACACTGGTCCCCCAACATAAGCGAGCCCGAGCTTGTAAAGTTTGTGTCCTCGTCCACTGCGCGCGCCGCGCCCCCAGTTTCGTTCGACCTTTCTTCTGCTTTGTCCTTCATCGGGATTTCCGGGCTCTGAAGTTCACTTGGTGGTTGGTTCTCACTGCGTTCCGGCCCCCTGTAGACCCAGGCGTGGCTACGATGACCTAGCTTGGACTACCCCTGGCTATGTTTGTCGACGGGGGTAGACATGGATCGGGGCGGAGCCATCGACACACCTTTGGCTACGATGACCTAGCCGAGTGTACCTCACGTAGCTATGCTGTGTCTACATCAGTTTACGTTGGGGCTACCTGGGCCTACCTATCCGTTGAACAACGTCACCCAACCTCGTTCGGCTATTTACAACCACAACTATGTGCATAGGGCTTTTTGTGGCCTCCAATGTCTTCGTAGACCCTCACGACATTGTCCGATCCGGCCTCTGATCCGCAAAGAACCAACTGTAAAATATGACCCAGTTGAAGCTGGTGCATTAATGTTCCGTGGATCTTCTGTCAGTTGGGATCATAAAACAAGAAGCTCGGAATCAATTTATGGCCGAATAGCAGGCAACAAGCCCAAACCCACCTTGGTCTACCGCCCGGACCCAAGTAGTAGCCCTAGGTAGCCCGAGGTTGACGGAGGCAGACACACTGTGGCTACAGATGTAGCCACGTGTAGACACACCTCTGTGTCAACGGGTTGGGCTACGCCTGGGGGCCGGAACGCAGTGTCTTACCGGCTGAAAACGCCTTTCCGTGAGGCTCGGGACATTGATTAGGACTGATTACGTAGCGCCTCGAAATCCTTATCTTCCGGCTAACCACATGCCACAGTCTGCCATCGGTGAGAACCCGCGTCACTTCAAATAGAAGCGGAAGCTATTTGCTGAGCGCTCACGCCCCACTCTACGTCCCACTCTTATCTCATCACCATCATGGGCTCCCCCAGCGAGGCCGGCGACGAGAAGCGTTCCAGTGTCGAGAAGCCCGTCGGCGAGAAGCACCAGCATGCCGCAGTTGCAGTTTCTGCGACTGAAGTTGATACGGGCGCGAGTTTGGTGTACGGGGAGCATGGCGAGCTCGACCCAGCAGAGGCTTTACGTGTTCGGTGAGCGCAAGCCGTGTCGTTTCGTCAGCGGGGATCCGACTCGCATGCCAGGCGAAAGATTGACTTTCACATCCTCCCCCTGATGTGCAGTACGTTTCCATTATACTCTACTAATTTCCGAAGTCACCAACTTGATTCCAGTTCTTTATTGGTACGCAGGCGAATTCTCCGTCTGCGTGAGGAACTGACACGGTAATCGCTTAGGATTCAATTCATGGGTATGTTTCATGGCCCCAGCACGTAATCACAGCCGACGTCAATTTTCGCACAGACAAGACGACGTTGGGCAGCTCCGCAATCCTGGGCATCAGGTACGTCACCCATATAATGACTTCGCCCGCACTGACCAGTTTTACCAGAGAGGCGACGCATCTGACCACAAACCAATACAACTGGCGCGTACATTCCGTACTCTTCACCTATTTTGGCTGACGACAACACAGGCTGGGGTAGGCTTACCGCGCTGTTCATAACTCACCAGCTCATTGCGCCGTTCATCCAGAACCATATTCTATCTGAGCTACCTCGCGTTTGAATTTCCGCAGAACCTCGCGCTGCAGCGCTTCCCCGTTGCGAAATGGATGAGGTGCTATATTCTGTGTTCCAATAACGGTGGTGCATCGACGCCTGAAACGTCCACAGCTTAAACATCTTCGTGTGGTCGGTCGCGCTGTGCTCGCATGCCGCGTGCAAGAGCTTCGGCGGCCTGTTCGCTGTCCGGCTTGTGCTTGGGATGTGCGAGGGGTGCGTTTGCTCCGTACTTCTCCTTTTTCTTGCCGATTCTCATTTTCGCTGGGTCCAGATCCATTACCGCCGGGTAGCCCTCGTGATTTGGAGTGTCTCCCCTTTCACTAATTATTTTCAACCAGGTTCATGATTGTCTCCTCCATGTTCTACACCCGCACCGAACAAACTCTTCGCGTCGGGTATTGGTGTGCGCTCCCTTCCTCTATTTCCTGGACCCTCTATTGACGTTTGTACATTTCTACCCCCCAGTCCTGATGAACGGCACGGGTACGTTCCCCTTCCTCATCATTATTCTGTCGCCCGTCGTATTTACGCGAACTCCAGCGCAAATCATCTCGGGCTTCATCAGCTTCGGGACGCTGCACATCAAAACGGGTGGATTTGAACCCTGGCAGTGGCTCATGATCATCACCGGCATCCTCACGCTCATCACCGCTGTGTCGTTCTGGTGAGCCCAACTGACAACGCTCGTCGGGGGTTTTCCATTTTAAATTTTAATTCCAGGTTCTTCTTCCCTGATTCACCGACGAACGCGTGGTTCTTGACGCCGCAGGAGCGCGCTGTGGCTGTTATGCGCCTCAAGGTCTGCTTTGTGAATTGGCAGCGGACAGACTTTGATGTTTGCAAAGGAAAACCAAACGGGTGTGGAGAATAAA